GGGGGGTGCAAAGAGAAGCAGCGAGTAACAAAAAGACAGTAACTGCGTGCGGAAGAGATGGATGTGTCGTACAGTGGCGTCCAAAAGAAACTTGAAATCATAATTACCGAATCATCGTGAGCACTACCCACCCATGTAGCATATCCATTTAAAGCTAAATACATTCTGCACCACCGGACACATTAATGCGGTGGGTGCCGCATTCAACGAGGTCACATTCAACGAGAGATCGGCTCCAACGAGGCAATCCTTAACCCCAGATTTTTTCCTCTATATCTTTTTGTAAATGTACGTCGGCTCCAACGAGGTTGCAAACAGACCAAAGTCGCTTTCAACGAGGTCACGATAACCAAATAAAATCAATTAGCAGCCCCAAAAAGGAAGAATTTATTTTTCTCCTTTCTCTCCATCTCACGCGAAGCACTAGACCCATCACCTATTGCTAACACACTGTATTGCTAGATCTAAGTGTGCCTCCTAATGTGGGCCCTAAAGCAAGAGGATGGGCGAGGGTTAGCCTACGGAGGGGATGAGAGGGGATGGGTGGGAACGCTATGCGGTCTATGAGAAACATGATGAACTCTAGATGGGTAGGTCTAGATCGAGACCTTCATTTTTTTTTTCAATTTTCTTTTCTTCCCCTAATCAAAAAATCCGAGCTCCCGCCTTTACTTTATGTAGATATGTAGGCCTAGATATGAGAGGGTATGCTTCCACTCGAGAAGTGTTCCAGAAAAAAAATTAAAACATGCAGAAATGACGGTCAGAACACAGCTCAAACACGAGCACACTGATGCTGTTTGAGATTTTCGTCATCAGGGGGAACAACTGTTGTAATTACGTATTTCATTGGTACATCCTATATAATAACTTGTCTCCTTTCTTTACTTTAGCCTTAGTCACGTTCAACGAGAGGTCGGATCCAACGAGGACAATAAGCCGGTCCCTACAACCTCGTTGAATGCGACACCCACTGTACTTCATCTATGTTTGCAGTCGTCAGAGTTATAGTTATAGTTACTCAGCACTGACCTGAAAAATATGGACTTAGCAAAATTGTGCATTATCAAAGAAACGTGAAATCGTGTTAGCGCTTTTATTGAGGTGCATCAGAATTGGTGGAATATACTTGTACTGAACATCTAATGAATGGATACTATTATTATCTCAGCAATACTCAGCATCTGATTTTTCTGATGATATTTTCAAACATATTGCAAAACAGAAAAGTCACTGTGCACCACGCAAAAATCGTGGGACTTAACGTTTTATGTACTCTTTAGTATTTAAATGGTACGAAACCTTTTTTGCACATAGAATGTAATGTATTATTTAGATTGTGGACATGATCACCTGCCAGTGAAGAAAAGAGACCACGAAACTGCTTTGGTCAGGGGTGGAATGAACAAAATCGCCTTCGTGAGAGTGAGAATCACCGGATGGCTTGGTTCAGATGACTAAATCGCTTAAGTGCTGGAACGTCTTACCCTTATTTCCGTTATGCTGTTATTTAAGCAGACATCCCCATGCAGGACAAAGCACTTTCTCACAGGATCAATGCCGCCAGACAATTCTTGGAAAACAAAATCATGACAACGTTAGTGTGGTCACTACATACCAGTAGATTAAAGCCCCAATAGGAACCCTATAGTTATGTGAAGCCTCATGACATAGTAATATTAGTAGCTGAAGAAAAGTGACTTTGCTCCCAATTCAGACCCTTTGTTTGCAAGTCTCTGTGACATCTGGGCTGAAATGACAGATAACAATATCTAAAATGTAATAGAGTTCACGCCCAAAGGGTTCGTGCTCTAGACAAAACCAATGGCTCCTAAACAAACAAGTAGTGAGCACGTTTATTTGTTAAGTTCAAGTTTTGCGTGGCATTTGTGACTGTTCTGCTTTCCGATCCGTTTAAAACTATCGTGCTTTATTTGTGGTTTATTGTAGAGACAACATTCTCAATTCATTTGGCATGGAATGTGTAATATACGAACGCAATGAAATCAATGTTCGTCAATTCAAGATATTTGCAATTTAAGGAGATGGGGTCGCCTGGTTTTAGAAGTAAAATTAGAGAGAAAATGGCCGCCAAAGTCTGGTGACTTCTATAGCTTAAGAGTCCTTGGAAACTTTAAATTTACATTTTTTGTGTGTTCCACGTTTTTCCATAACTATGACTGGTGACTTGAAAAAAACCCAACCCCCCCCAAACAAAAACCCGAGATTCAAAGATTGCAGCGACAGTTGAAAATATGAATTGAAAACTGTCTTCACAGTCAAAATTGTGTTCAGTTTTCACAGTAAGAAAAACCCGAGTACATCCGGTTTTCGAAGTGAAAAATAATATCCTGTTTTCATAAGAGAAATTATGTCGTGTTTTCAAAGCAAAATTCGTGTCCTGGACATTGACAAAAGCGCTGCATGCATAATGTAAACGGCGCGTCCCATAACCAGCGTTATCTTGCATCCGCCTTCCCAAGCCACCTTGCGTCACGCTTTGGCTCTCTCTGGTCCATACAACACAGATCGCTTTGCTTTCAACCACACAGCTGAACATTTCTCTGTGACTTCTCACGATGAACAGATTCATTCTCTCCGCGGTAGTGTTAATAGCCTTGGTGAGTACATATTATTTCCATTGTTGTTGTTGTTGTAGTTGTTGTTGTAGTTGTTGTTGTAGTTGTTGTTGTAGTTGTTGTTGTAGTTGTTGTTGTAGTTGTTGTTGTTGTTGTTATCGATCCAGCTACAGTTGAGCTCTCGCCCTTCTGTCCAGTACCAAGTAGTGAAAAGTGCAGGTTTGCTGCAGTTGCTGTAATGGCGTATTCTAATAATAGTGCGGTAGCCTAATAAATTCATGGCGCAACTTAAGGCCCGGTTACACATAACGATAAACTGTACAAAGAAATCAAACGCTGCTTGATATTTTCCGTGAGATCACGGTCACACTTATTGATGGAGACGCGCTTTGACGTAGATTCCCTTTGAAATTTGCCGCCTCGCAGAACTAAACGCAGGACTCAAAATTTTAAAAATAATTATCGTAGGTAAAAACTGATTTCATTTTCGGAAATAGCGTCTCAAAATAAGCAAAGATGCCCGCGCGGAACCTGATTTGGTGCGTTATTATATACATGTATATATATTAGCAATTTTATTATTTAGTTGATCGTCAAGGGTGAAGCTTTGCATCAAGGTCATCGATGCGTTGCACATCTGCAGTCAAGTCATAGCTTCCGGTTCTGCACACAACACGGTAGGCCTACCGTATGGCCACCCTTTTCTAAAGACACTGTTCTGCTAAATCAAAATGTACAGGGGAATAGTGGGGGAGGGCGGGGGGCTCTCGTGATCTAGAGGTGCAGTGTTCGCCTTTCATTCATTAGGTCCTGAGCTCGAAACCTTCACATAGAGTGCAGGCAAATTGCTGTCGTCGCAAAGAGACATGGTGGCTTTATGACGAGGAATCTCCTCGATCGAAAGAAAACTGGACGATAGATTGGAACGTGTAAACAGACTACACAGTTCGATAAAACGGACAGTTCTTTCATACGACGAATCTGATACAATTTATCGTTGCGTTTAACCGGGGCTTTATCCTCAAATATCTCAGAAGAATAAATGTCGCTCATACTTTGCACAGCAGTTGGTATCCAGTAGTCTAAGTATTTTTTTCAGATCAAATTTACACATATCAAATTAGAATACCACATAGAAAGACCAAATTACACAAAAGAAATTAAATCTAAATATACAAATGACGTCATAAAAGTCATACTATAACAATAGTAAGTAAAAAAAAAAACCCCCATTCAAATCTCAAATGTAACACCTACGAAAATCAAATGCCACATAACAATTTCAAATACAAATATACTTGGACTGAGTAAAAAAAGAGGCTAAAATCATAAGAAGTGTATCAAGGTAAAAAGTAAAAGGAGTTTTTGTTTTTTTTAGCCACAAAAAAGCCAAATGTAAGCTTTGTGGTATAACAAGGAAAAAATCACATGTAACGAAACAAATTGTTTAATGAATAAAAAAGAAACACTTTTAAACAGAAAAGAGTGGTTATCTTAAAACTGCTGATGAAATGTGAGGTCAAGATGACTTTTATTAACTTTTCATTGCATTGCAAAACGCTGCGCAATTTATGGCTTGCATTGATCTGAAGGTTGCTGCCTTATTCACAATTATAGTCATGGTTGGGTTTTATGTTCTGGGCAAGCGTTACCTTCTTTTGTTGATGAGTGTGCTGAGGGAGCATTTTGGTCTCTTGCTTCAGCGAGCCTCTGTTTCAAATTGCATTTCCAAATTAAGAAGCGTACTCGCAGATGTTAAGAAAAGTATGTAGGGGGCAAGATGTTTCTTTTCGAATCTATTAATTGATGAGTTGGCATTTAAGCTTGCTCGTGTGCTCGAGCTTTCTTGCATACAAACATATTACGTTGTAGGGATTGTTGGAACAGTTTTTTTAGAGGGATCGGTGGAAACGAAAGCTGCCATTCCCTCTTCGTGAAAGTTGTGAAAGCCCAGGCCACCCTCGGCACTGACAGCAAATTATGTCATCGTGCGGTTTGATCCCCCTCGACCCTGCACGACTCGAACAGCGCGTTGGCTAGCGTGCTCTTCCTGGGTTTGTCTTTGCCCTTATGTTGATCCCAGTCTCATCGATGAAGACAAATTCATTCCTCTAAATCGCTAACCTAGAATAAGGAAGTTCTATATATCTGCTCAGTATCTGGTTTTGAGGAATCTGACTTTTAATATTTTGAGTTTCACAATATGTAAACCTTTAAAAAAAAAATTCAACTCTTTGAATATCTTGATAACAACTCCGAGTAATCTTACAATTTTGATAGAGCAGATAAAATATTTGGTTTCTGACTCCATGGTATTGGTAACTCCAGGGGCGAAGGCTGACTTGTTTGACAGGGTAATCAAAGTGATACGGGACCAGATATGGCCTGTAGATATCACACAAGAATCTTACTCGAGGCGGCGACTCTGAGTTGTGAATGTAAACAAATCCGGAATTCATATTGTATGTTCAACCGCCAAAGTAATCGGGAAAGTATCTTATTAAATATCAGTTCCAACTAAAATTAAATTTAACTTTAGATGTGAATACTTAAACACAAAGCAAAGAAGCAGAGATGTCAGTACTAGATCTATATGTTATAGATCTACCAGTGAGTCTAACTCTTTGGTAGAACATGACAAATCATTTTTTAAATTTCACATTTGGCTGTTTTTGTTAGCCTTTCGCGGCCAGGAGCTGGTGTCATAATCGAGGTCACGATCTGATTATAGGACGGTAAAAAGTCGAGGAAAAAAACCCAAGCACAAGCAGCAGTCAAGAGATTATTAGGAGTTAGTTCCCCTCACATTTGTGAGGTAGACTCGACCAGTGTTAGTTAGCTTACATAATCATTGCTTGTGATTGATTATAACTGTGGCCCCAAAGGGGTGAACAGGGTATATGTGGCAATGGAACAGCTTTGACTGCTATGCACATGTTCCCTTCAACTCTATTGGTAGACTCTTCAAGCCTCACTTTAAGCTTACTTAATCAAAACTTGCGACTGCTTATGGAGTGGCCCCAGAGGGGTGAGGAGGCTATTTCTGTGGCCGTGAAACCGTTTTGAACGTTAGGCATACTCATTGTTGATTACGAACGTGTTTTTACATTTGATTTAAGAGGTTTACGTTTAAGGATGAATTTGACAGCGACAATGTTTCAAAATTAGGAAGGGAAGCAGTGATTATTTGATTATATAGACGCTTCGCCCCTGGTAACTTAAAACGGCCGATCGTGTCAGATTGAATTTTGTAATTCTGAGGTAGTGAAATGTTCTCCTCTATCAGCCTTGCTGCATGTTGATGTCTGGTTGCTTCAGTCCATTCTGAATTATTTCTTTCCTCGGGAACATCCTCGAGGTTTTCCATGGTGAACAATTTACCCTCTAAAACGATACTGGATATGATTGTCCCCAACTCAGTTTGGGCACATTAAAGCGCTGCTTACCATAAGTAATCTGTCTGAAGGATATTGGCTTTTTGCTATGTTCTGCTGTTTGAACGTCCTATGGTGTTATACGGGGTGCCCACTACACCTGGATCGGGCCGATCGCCCGACTCAATCGCCTGAAACTGAAAACAAACACGTTTGTTTTTGAGGCGATCGAGTCGGGTGATCGGCTCGATCGGCCGATCCCGTCCGTAGTGGGCACCCCGTATTACGTTTGGATTTGCTATTTTTACATTCAAATTTGCTACGCACAAAATTGTGCACTAAAATTCCTATTGAATTTTTCTACTTTCTATGTGGCGTGATATTTTCCAGGTGACTTTTGAACCTGCTGTGTGGCGTTTGTATTTCTTAAGTGTACATTTAATAATAATAAATAATAATAAATAGCATTTGTATAGCGCAAATCCCCGCTCAACAGCAGGCTCTATGCGCTCTACACTAATATTATTACCCCAGCAGACCATAGAACATTTAAATTTGATCTGAAAACCCTCCAACAAAAACAAACAAAAACAAAAACAAAAATAACTATATAACGAACCACCCACTAGAAAGTTTCAGTTGTATATTTGAAAGCAAGCCGTTCTGTGTTGTGTGAACATGATACAATATGGTTTGTGAAGACGGATACAAAGTATTTTCCCTCAACAACTGAGGCTAGATTTTAAAACTTTTCTTAATAAATTTATATAAAATACAATTAATCTCCGTTGCGCGGAAAATGGGATTGTTCACAGCACTTCCCGCTTCCTCACACATTTTGCATATGCATTATGCATATGGCCGACGTCACAGCTCACCAGTGAAACTTTTTAATGACAACTTGTTACGAGAAATATTCATTTTTGAATACATTTTTTCCATATGTTCTCAAAACATGTGTTCAATAAGCATTATGTTCAGGTGAGAAAAAAAACCCCGGACTTCTTTTTAAAAGCAATATAGCCACCGCTGTAATACTACTACTACTACTACTACTACTACTACTACTACTACTACTACTACTACTAATAATAATAATAATAATAATAATAAATGATATTTATATAGCGCTCAACCCCGATTAAAGTAGACAGGCTCAGAGCGCTTAATTTCTTTTTGTTGTATAATTTTTGAAAATGTCCAGAAATTAAAACAGTCAAAAAACACCACAAAATAGTATGAGCACACGAAGAATGCTGCCTGTTTGCGCGGTCATCTGTAGAAACCACTAACCTTCGGCACTTATATTACCTTTTTGCGATGCAAGTGCCGCAAAATTCGTATTAATACCGGGTGCTATTGGGGATGGGATCGGGTCGGATCGGGTTGATCGGCCGACTCGTTGCCTGAAAACAAACGCGTTTGTTCTTGAGGCAACGAGTCGGGCGCGATCGACTTGTGCCACGATAGCCGCTTGGCGCCCTCAATCTGGCTAGCAAACCGACCCGACCCAACCCGACCCCCCGATGGGTACCCCGTAAAAACTAACATTACTTAAGAGGAGACTAACAATGTGATAGTCGCAATGAAAAGTTGGTCAGAGTTAAAGAACGGGGGTCTTGGAACAGAAGTTGGAGTAACTGAAATCGCTGTTCCTAAACATAATCCTAGATCTAGTCGTAGACATACAATACGTTATTAATACAGTCGAATCTGCTGTAACGGCCACCTGTCCAAGACAATCATCTGTACGAGCGACCACTTTCTACGTCTCCTTTTGCGTTTTTAAAAAATAGATTACAATGACACCGTCCAAGACGTCTGCCTGTCTAAAACAACCTCTTTTCTCCTCGACAATGGATGGCTGTGTTGGACATTTGGACTGTATACAGTCCTTATACCTAAACTAAAAGTGTTTGTAACGCATTCATGGCTGCCAAAAATACACTATCGCCTTCACACAGTCATGGAAGCCAAATACACAATCGTTGACACTCACTCATTGTAGCCAAACACACTATGTATCAAATAGAATGTTCGGGCTTTGGAGAGACCCGAAGGAAGTATTTTAAATGCAAAAAAATTGCTAGCTCTGTTCTCCGTCATAGATCCCAACTGAAGTCTCAATTTTGTAAAGTCCATTGGCCTTTACAGTAAATTGTAAATACTGTAATTTTGATTTTAAGTTGATTGTCATTTTTTAATTGTTCTTTTACCCCAAATTTTTAACATTTTAAATCTGATCATTGACCTAAGCCAAGGCATGCTGTGAACTGTTGTGAATGCAACCAACTTGTGTTTCGCGCGCTCAGATAACCTTATGCAGTAGCGAGCGCCGTAAAACTGTTACTAAACTAAAAATACACAGTCATGGTAGCCAAACACCCTATCGCTGTCACACAGTCATGGTAGCCAGACACACAATCGTTGGTACACACTCATGGTAGCCATACGCACAAAAGCAGGAACACAGCCATGGTAGCCAAACACTATCTGGAACATTATTCACAACGCCCTTGGATTTTTCAGCCCAACGAGAAGACGCCCGGCACGAGAAGATGACAGCTGTTTATCTATATCTATGTCTTCCTTCTGACTATCTCTTCTGTCTATCTGTCTCTTCTCGTTATCTATCTCATCTCTCTAACTTTTCTCTCTCTCTTTCTCTCCCCCTCTCTCTCCCCCCCTCTCTCTCTATCTCCCCTCCCCCTGCTCCTCCTGCTCCTCCTGCTCCTCCTCCTTTCTCTTTCATCTCTCTCTGTCTTTTTTATCCCTCTGACCATATCTATTCTCTGCCTATCTCTCTCTCATCTATCTGTCTATCTTTCCTCTCTGTCTCCGACTCACACAGGTCTGCTTAGAAAATTTTTGAGTTTGCCGCAGACAAGTCCATTGTCCTACAGTCAAGTGGAGACTGTCAGATCTGCTCTCTGGCAGGTTTATTTTCTCGTATGCCGTTGCAATGTGATTGTGCTGATGTAATTTAAATAAGAAGTTAACTCAGTTTGGGCACCTGCTGCTCGGGCTGAATAATGTGTTTGAAGGATGTTTGCCTTTGCTGTTGCAATGTAGCCAGTGGCATTGGGTGGACCAAAACTTGGGTGGGGCTTCGGTTGCTTCCACTTTTTAAAAAAATCACCAAATAGCAAGCAATAAGACCTAAACAGTACTGATATTACCATAGTCACAGTGAGCCACGGCATTTTGAGAACCATTCAAACGAGAAGAGTTGTTTTTGTCTTCCATCTCTCTGTTCCATGTCAGAATCTTTTTGATGAAAAGGTTGCCTTAAAAGTGGAATCGACGTGATTTATAACTGTTAAATCTCAGCGACACAAACACAAAATTGAAGACACCGCACTTCAAATACATTTCGTCTGTGAGATGGATTAGATCGTGTAGCCCCGGGTAGTAGAACGCACCTAACAAAGGTCCTATGAGCGCGTAGGTATTTATGTCACTGGGGGAAGTATGTCTTAAACTTTCACCCCATTCTCAGGGCTAGGAGAACGTGAGCCCTCAGTACCATGGTTCCAATCTTCTACCTTTTTACAAGAAGAGTTTCATTATAATGGAAGGGGCGTGGGATGGGCACATCCTTTGCTGAGCCCTAAAGACATTTGATTGGCTGGTAGGTCACGCTGTGTTCATTGCGGGCGATCATAATGGTTTCAACTGTTTATTTTGTTATTTTAAGAAACTTTCATTTACTTTGGGATAGATTGTTGTGGGGGGGGGGGGGGGGGGGCTCAAGCCCGTGAGCCCTTCACTACCCACCTCCACTGAGTGTAGCGTTTGAGCGTCCCATTGTATTACATTTTGATTTGCTATTTTTACTTTTAAAACTTTCTAGACGCAATAGTACATGTATACTGAAATATCCTATTGGATATTTGAACTTTCTTTTTCGCGTGAAACTTTCTTTGTGAGGTTTGATCTTCCTAGGTGGCATTAAAATTTGCATTTCTCATGTGTATATTTGATCTTTACCCCCCCCCCCCCAAACCCTATGATACCTCAGAATTTTGGGCTCAGTACATCTGAACAGCTGGCCGAAGATACGTAACTTAAAAGCCAACTTGAAAAGGTTAGGGATGTGTTTGGGTTATGGTCAGGGGTTGGACATAGATTTTGGGTTACCCGAAAAATGGGAGAGACAGACGGAGATACCACTCTGACAACCCCTCCCTTCTCCTTTCCACAAAACTTAATTCTCCTTCAACTATATCGAGGAAGAAAAAACATCGTCTGTGGTGTAGTGGTAAAGTGCTTTGCCGTCTTACGGAGGAGACCTGAGGTCGAATCCAAAGTGGGGAGAATTTTTATTCAGTATCTCGGTCATTACTGTTGGGATGTTGTATCACTCTCAGCCCGGGTTGGCCCTGACAGGCAGGATCGAAGCCCGCCTCCTTAATAATCTTAATGGTGATGATTGGGGATTTTTTTTGGGGGGGGGGGGATAACACTGATATGACGGAATGTCATCTCTTTTCTAAGGTGGGTGATTGGTTGGCAGGTGCTCAGGTGTGGTTTGCTCCTTTTTTTCCTATCAAACATCTATCGTCCTTATCCATCGTCCTTTTCTTGGCGGCGTCAGCAGCCTTGTGGTTAGGCTACCGGACCCGTAATCGTGAGACTGCAGGTTCGGGGTTTCGAGCCTCACGAATTTTCCATTCTGCTCAGTCCTTTTTTGGATGGATGTTCAACTCGTCGGTCCCGCCTCTTAAATCTTAAAAAACATAAGGGTGTTGATAGGGGTGCTAATTAGTGCTAAACCTATACCATTTCGTGATTCCTCCTTTTTTTATGTTACACTTTAGTACACTCTTTGGTACTTACATGACCGTTTTATGTTGCAAGTGCCGTAAAACTCTAACAAAAACAGAATCTCTTTTCCAAAGGCTGCGCTGATCTGTGGTGGCCATGCAGGGAAACACTGCACGGACAGCAGTCAGTGTGAGGACGACGAGTGTTGCCTGGACCCCACACAAAGACGCGGGAAACGCCAGGCGGCTGGCTACTGTGCGCCCAGGGTGCTCAAAGGACAGTGTGAGTCATCGGTTATTATTTTGTGAACCGGAGACAAGGTCAGACATCCATTGTTCCTGGGGTCAAGCTCAGATATCCGTTGCTCATGCGTGAGCTAGGGTCAAGGTCAGACGTTCATCGTTACTTTGTGAATTAAGGTCAAGGCCAGACATTTTCTGAACGATGGATAATAAAATGTGGGGGTGGGGGGTGGAGGTGAGTGGCTCTTTCAAATCGGAACTCGTTATATGTTGTGACGTCAGTATTTGTTCAGGTTATGTGTTGTGACGTCAGTATTTGAACAGAGTAAGTATGTTGTAATCAACCCTCCCAGCCTGTCTTCCCACGATAACTTAAAAAAAGATTGAATTACGCCCGAGACAGCAACTAGAAAACAATAGATGATGCCTTATCGACTCATGGCAGTTACTTCCACACTCACAATCTTATCCTCCTCCTTCATCATCATCATCATCATCATCATCATCATCATCATCATCATCATCAGCAGCAGCAGCAGCATCAGCAGCATTACTTACGCAGCAGCAGCAGCAGCAGCAGCAGCAGCACCACCACCACCACCACCACCACCACCAGCAATATCAATGAAACAAACATAACTGAAACAACAACGACAAAAACAATTATGCAAATTTCACATAGCACCACCAACACAATATTTAAATACACTACCTTGCTGTCTTTCTCTCACCCAATTCTCTTTCTCCCTCCTCCCCGTTCCCCATATCCTCCCAATTACCTTCCAACTCACCTTCCCTCTCCACCTCCCATTCATCTCCCCTTCCCCTTCCCCTTTCTTCTCCTCTCCACCCTATATCCTCCCTTCCCCAATCCTCCGCACCTCCCACTCACCTCTCGTCCCCACCCTATATCCCCCTCCTAACGTCCCCTCCCCTCCTCCCCTCCTCCCCTCCTCTTCCATCCACCTACCAGCATGCTTTATAAACGCCGCTAACAGCGGGCCTGTCTACCTCGACGCCTGCCCGTGTGTAAGTGGACTCACATGTCAAGGGAACGGTGTGATCTCTGTGCCCCAGGGAGAGATGGGTGAGTCAGGAACGACTTTTGTTTTTGTTTTAGGAAGAGTTTTACGGCATTTCAACACAATTAAGTCATGAGAATAAGTGCCGAGGATCAGAGGTGTTACAAGAAAGTAACAAACTTTTTAAAAAGGAGGGGAGATAAGGACGATACATTTTAATGTTCGATAGAAAAGAAGGAGCTAACGACACTAGAGTACGAGTAAACCGCACAAGAGCACCCACCAACCACCCACCAGTCAAGGACGAAAGAAGAAGGAATAAATGGAGAAAAGAAAGGAAGAAATAGAATTATTGATGGGCTGTGGAGAGAATGCAAACCTCAGACAGGTGAATTTTACTGCAGAGAAAAAAAACAAAACAAACAAAACTTACTATTTAAATCAGTCTGGAAGAAACACATTGTGCCATTTACTAACGATAACGAATCCGACCCCCTGTAAACCGTATTGTGTTTTTGCAGTGGGTGGGAGGGTGGGGGCGGGTTTGATTGAGAGCATGACTGTTTGTGCATGTGAAATGTGAGTATCCCCCCCCCCCTTTTTTTTCTCTATGTGTCTGTGAGTATGTCTGTCTGTCTGTCTGTCTGTCTGTCTGTCTGTCTGTTTCGTTCTCACTCTCTTTCTCTCCCCCACCCCTATCACTCTCTCTGTCTCTCTTTTTCTCTTGCCATCGATCCGAAACAATTATTATTGTTTATTTTTTCAGAATACGATTTTTGAATTAGCGGCCAGGGTCTTAACGAGTAGACCCCTCAAAATATTAAACAAACATGTGTTTTCAATTTAATGTTGTTGTTTTTTTCACCTGTGTCTGTACAACGATGTTTCATGCTTTGTTTTTCTGTGAATATATCCCAGTGAGCTGATCGTGAACTTTCAAGCTTGGTATTTTCTAGATGCCCCATTCTCCACACCCTTTGTCTCTCTTTTATTTTTTAAATTATATTATTTTCTCGAGAACTTGTCACAAGGGGAAGTAAGCAAAACTGTATTACCTCCCTTTCGATAAATATATTTGAAATATCTCAGAACGCTATAAATTATATGTATGTGAGATGTTTCCATAATAACTCTGAGATTGTCAAGTATAAAAAAGGCGCAAAGATGATATTATTATGTTGCTGAAAGTTGTAAACTATGATTGAAAAAATAAACAAAGAACAACGACAACAACACCACCACCCTCAACAATGCAAACAACAACAACAACAACAACAACAACAACAACAACAACAACAACAACAACAACAACAACAACAACAGGGAACTATTTCGTCAAATGTCTGGTACCACATCCCTGAGAGGCTTCTTTCACTTATTCTGTTCCCAGGAACATGTGGCTGATCCGTACACCCAGACGGAGTCTCTTCACTGGAGAACGCAGCACAGCACGTAGACAGGACGCACACCTTAGCCGGTTCATAACCTGAAACGGACGTAACCTTCAGCTTCAATTGTATTTCACCTTAACCGGCTCATAACCGTAGCCAATTATTGACCTTAACTGACTCTTCACCTTAGCCAGCTCAAAACCCTAACCGGCTCATAAGCTTAGCCGGCTCATAACTTTAACCGGTTCACAATCTATTTCTGCTTCAATACTGCCAATAAACAGATAATAAAATGTCACACGGAAATACCATATTTCTGTTGTCTGTTCTTTTGATTTGCACAATATTATATTCCTAGGGCAAGGTTGAAAGCTTGTACCAAACAAAACCAAAGATTCTAGATGCATTGAGGGCCAAAACAAGAAACTCACCATTACACGCTCAAAAAACATTTTTATTAGGTGTAATTTCTGACATATTCGTTTAAGCTTGATTTATTTCTGACATGTGAACTCGAGGTTTACGGTGGGTCAAATGAGTACACGATACAAACGTGCCCTATCATTGACACACCAAACACTGCCAGTCGCCAGCAGTTCGCTATCATAGAATTACAAAGTTCTATCTAGGCTACTCAGTGTCTACTTTTGAGAAATTTGACGTAAACAAAAATTGAGTTTCACAGCATGTCAATTCTTTGAATATCTTGATAGCGGCCCTAAATAACCGTAAGATTTTGACAGATCAGATACAATTTTTGGTTTCTGATGTCATGGTTTTAAATACTCAAAACGATCAACAATGTCAGATAGAACTTTGTAATTCTGGAGTAGCAAGCTGTAAAACCAATTGACGACAAAGTTTGTGGTATATAAAGTAATTTCCCAAAAGAAACGAGCTGCATAAGCTTGGACCATGGAAGGCAGCTAAGCCGATATACACGGCGATTGTTGGTAATTGCTTAATCAGGACTGCAGGCTCCACGAGGCAACATTTGGAAACCTTGCTCTTGCATTGTCAGGGAGGAGCATTGTGCGAGAGGCTCCAATCTTTGGTCTCTGCTCGTCAATGGCATTTTTCAACTCGGGCAGTACATAAAAATGTACCTTTTTCACATTGTAGGAAATCACAGTATCTTTTGGTCAGAACACAACGTTTTTTGCTACTGTTGTACATTGTATTGTATTGTATTGTAAAGCGCCCAGAGCCTTTGTGCTTTAATCGGGGTTGAGCGAAATTTGTTGTTGTTGTTGTTGTTGTTGTTATTGTTGTTATTGTTATTGTTGTTGTTGCTGTTATTATTATTATTATTTTTTTTATTATTATTATCCTTATTATTATTATTATTATTATTATTATTATTATTATTATTTTATTATTATTATTATTGTTATTGTCATTGTCATTGTTATTGTTACTGTTAGTGTTATTATTATTATTATTATTATTATTATTATTATTATTATTATTATTATTATTATTATTATTATTATTATTATTATTATTATTATTATTATTATTATTATTATTATTATTATTATCATTAATAAAAATAATAGGTGGCATGACATCAACCACAAGGGGACCTCAGTAATTGAAAAAAAAAAAAAGATAGCGAGAAACGTCTTTCTGATTTAAAACCCGTAAAACAAAGCAATATTTTGAAGGGCAGGGTGCTCGGATCAACGTCCTTCTTTGATTGGAATGGGGAAGAGCATTCAGAATAGTTCATAAACACTTCTTTCAAGATTTGAGCCCTGTTGGTCAAATCTAGACCCATAAAAGAAGCTGCTATTGAGCATTTGTCAAACTTTTAGATTAATCTCATTACCCTTTGGAGCGCCCCCTCTCCCCCACCCCAATGACAGCAACAATAACGAAATTAAATAATAACTGAAAAGAATGTAAGAAAGTGTGTTTGACATATTGTATGTCTGTTGCTGTTTTGATGTCAGTTCTACGCTCTTTACAACGGAATGCTCCTTTAGAGGTGGGATTCAATTGTTTATTACAGATTTTAACATACGTTGAGGACCACCTTGACAGACAGCCCTGATTTTTAAAAATTCAGAAAAAAAGACAGCTAGAAATGTTTCTAATTTTTTTGTTCTGAAAATGTTAATGGGTTACCTCCTGCGTATTGCAAAGATTGCTGAAGGGGCAAAACCACCGCGTGCAGGACGGAAATCCTCGGGGAATTTTAGCCGAATTTGCTGTTTTTTATCGACTTGTGTGCAACACCACGGACATTCTTTAATTAAAATTCTGATGCATGTCATAAACAGACGTACGGACTCGAACTGTGTTCGCTTTTGTGGCAATATTGTAAGTCGCCGTTTGCGAAAAATTCAGTATCGCATCAGCATGCCACCGAGACTGAAGCTGAGAGACTTTGATCGTGCCAGAGCTATGGCATGTCTACAGGATGGAGTTGGAGCCCGAGAAGATGCCACAAGGCTTGCAATGTCACCCTCTGTCATTGTCCGCTTGGGGCAGCCCCATCAAGTCACTGGATCAGTCCAAGAAGACCAATTTGCAGGTCGACCCAAGAAGACCACTCAGAGTGTTTGCAAGTGGTCCTTAACTTATGTTTTAGTCTGCAGGAAGTACATGTATGTCTCCACAAATACTGATTGAGTGTGTGTGTGTGTGTGTGTGTGTGTGTGTGTGTGTGTGTGTGTGTGTGTGTGTGTGTGTATGAGAGAGAGAGAAAGAGAGAGAGAAAGAGATAGATAGATAGATAGATAGATAGATAGATAGATAGAGACAGACAGATAGACAGACAGACAAACAGACAGACAGACAGACAGACAGACCTTCAGACAGACAGAAAGATCTTCACACAGATAGACAGACAGACAGACAGACAGACAGACCGACCGACAGACAGACAGACAGACAGACAGACAGACAGACAGACAGACAGACAGACAGACAGAGGTTGGAGCTGCCGGGGGTGAGGGTTGGAGGAGGGAGGATCTGTTGTTCTCTATCACAGAACTGCAACACCTCTAGAACTTCGTAATAATGTCGTCGTGTGAAGGAATGTCTGTTGTGAGGTTGAAGATTTCACGTGTTTTGCAGTTGTCACCAAGACGTGTCAAAACAAGAATCTGGCAAAAAACAACAACCCCATAACACCCCATCCCCCCCCCCCAAAAAAATCCAACTACAAACAAACAAACAAACAAACAAACAAACAAACAAACAAACAAACAAACAAACAAACAAACAAACAAACAAACAAACAAACAAACAAACAAACAAAACAAATAAACGAATAAACATTCAAACAACCAAACCGGTTTAACGTACGTGGCTTCTCACAGCAATCAAGACCCTTATTGAGCGAGAACACATTGAGAGTGATTTTAAGTCACCGCGGAGGTTTGGGTTGTGCTTCATTCTGGGCGTCTTACATAATATTATATTGCTATCGTTGTCGTCCAAACCCGTGGAAGAGTTTGTCACAAGGAAAAGGAAGGTTGGTGTTATGGTTGACGGCTGTCGATTCCCACAAGACAAAGGACCTTATCAAACAACAGTTTGGAGATACTGTAGGCCACGGTTTGGCCTTCCAAAATTCAATGTGGCAAACATTACATTCAGCCGTGAGTTGTTTATATTCAGCCGGTGACAACTCACGAGAAGATTTCCCGTGTCAGTAGGCTAGAGTGAAGACATATAGAAGACGAGCAGGGCCCAGCGACGAGGGAACACGAAACTGGATCTAACTAGATCTTTACCTACATCTAATACAGGTTAGTGAAAACTTACAATACTTCACAATGGGATGTATGATGACAGTCTCAAGCCTGTTGAAAGCAGAGGAAAATAGGTAAAGTTGGTATCGATTATCATTTAAAAAAATAAAAAATCATGGCTCTTCATAGAAGCTTCCCAATATTTTGGTGTCTTTTTGTGGGGTTTTTTTGGTAAGTATTTTACGCCGCTCTCAACTGCCTAAGGTCGTATGAGTGCGCGGGACACATTAAACGTTTTCAGTTGGTCGGAAATTTTGAATGTTGCCTGGGTGGCGACCGGAGCCTACTCTTATCCATTTTTTTACCTCCAAGGGATCTTCAACGTGCGCAATTTGCACATGGGTCCTCCGTAATTTGTTTGGCCCTTGTCCGCTAGGTGTAGATCTTTCCTACCATAAGATCAGGGGTGTAGCTGAAAGATAACAGTAAGAAGGAGCCAAGGGGAAGCAGTGGAAAGGCTGCAGAAAGAGTCACTAGCCCAGAGGAGGAGGCAAAGGAGGGGGTGGGGGCAGAAAGTGGAGACGAAGGCAGACAACAGAACATTGTTAGAGAGCAGGAAAGGAGGTGAAAAGAGATAATTTTAGAAAAGAAAATTTTTCCGTCGCTACCCGGATTCGAATCCGGGACCTTTGAGAGGGACCATGAGAGCTCCCTTCCAGAGTAAGAAAATCTATAGTTTGGTAAACAGTAGAGGTAAAATTGCTTGTTATTTGAGTGTCCTCAAGTTAAGGAGTTATTCACACAAAGCTTTAGTCTCTCCCCCCTTCCCTCTCTCCTCCTCTATCTCTGTCTGTCTGTCTGTCTGTCTGTCTGTCTGTCTGTCTGTCTGTCTGTCTGTCTCTTAATAAGCATGACTCCACGCTGCCACCCTGGTCAGTGTTAGTGGCTAAATATTCCTAAGAAAAAAGATCAGTCCAGCGGTTATAAATCAACTCTGAACGACTTGTTGTCACAGTTATTGCTGCGGATCTGAATCATGAATCAAGCTAGTTTGACTCACCGTTTGGTATCGTAACCAGGTGGAGCCGTAATTGCTGCTTGAATGGTCCCGTGACTTTTGTCTTGGAACAAAACTTTGGTAACACTTTATAGATCAATCTTTTCCCCCTCAATTATATCGCTAAAACTGGCGTCTGCGATGTAGCAGTCAAGCCGTCCATCCTGGCACACAGAAGACCTCTTAGTTCGGTAATTCCCGTGTGGGGGAGAATTTTAATCGAGTATCTGAGTCTTTGTACTAGGACATTGCATCCTTCTCAGCCCGGGTTGGCCATGGGAGTCATGGTCAAAGCCCGTTTCCCGAATTGCCTAAATTAATTAGAAGGGGACGGTTAAACATCTGTATAACTTAACAACAATGATTACTTCTGTTTTATTTTTTACAAAAGTGGGCTCTGAGGTGAGCGACTCTACACATAGGAACGTCCTCGTGGAATATAGTTCAACAATCAACATACATAACACTGTTTTTTGCTGACAGTCCTCTGTTCAAAAACACTGTCGACTTCTCAGTATTTCTTTTTCAGTGGGTGGTTGGCGGGTGCTCT